GAGGGGGCGGCACAGCCCTGAAGAGACCTGTCGCCGCTGAGAGCTGCAGTGCCGTTCGGTGAGACCGTCTCACTGACCTCTTCTGGCCTAACGGGCCCTGCTCATTCTTGCGAGGTCTGCTGGCTGCCAGGGGTGCCCAGTGGGGCGTCCGAACTCGGGCGTCGGGAGGTGTGTTGCCTCGTTCGAGGCGTGAAGTTTTTTTTTGGTTTTCGCAAAATGTCTGCGTTCTCACCTTCTCAGCTTTCCGGCGCTCCAAGACGGCCCAAGAAGCCCCAAAATCCACCCTAACACGGCCAAAGACGCCTCCAAGAGGGCCCAAGACGGTCCAAGAGGCGCCCACCCAAGACGGCCCAAGAGGGCCCCAAGACGGCCCCGAAAGGGGCCCAGGAGAGGGAACACGAACCGAACATCCGAGCCCTCCGCCCCAAGAGGCCCCATGAGGCCCCTAGAGGCGCCCAGGAGTTCCCAAAAGGCCTCCAAGAGGCCGCCCTCAGGAGGCCCACAAGGGCACCCTAGAAGCCCAAGAGAGGCCACAGCCCGGTTCCGGGCGCTCACGGGCGCTGTTGGAGGGTTCCCCGCGTGACTGTTGGAGAGGCCCAAAGCGCGTTGTTCGCGACATGCACTGCCCTGGAGCACTCTTGGGCGCCTCTTGGGTCATCTTGCAAGCCCTGGAAGGCAGCCCAAGAAGCCAAAATCATTAAAACCCTTCGCATTACCACCTTTTCGGTCTTGCGAGCGTCCAAGACGGCCCAAAAGGCACCTCGGATCGCTCCAAAATGGCTCAAGGGCCCTCAAAAGAGGGGCCCAAGAGGCCCCCAAGACGGCCCCAAGATAGCCCAAGATGGTGAAAACGAGCCCACATATCGACCCACTCGCCCCAAGATGGCCCCAAGATCCCCCGACAAGCCCCCAAGGTTCGCCCAAGAGGTCCCAAGAGGCCCCAATGAGGCCCAAAGCAAGCCCCAAGAGGCTCCCAAGACGCGCTAAAAAACCGCCAGAACCGCCTCCAAGAGGCATCTGAGAGGTCCTCCAGAAGATCCTCACATGCATCCAGGTGGCCAGGTCGCGAGGTGTCAGAGGGTTTTTTTTGGCCCAAGATTGTTCCAAGAGGGCCCCAGAGGAGCCCAAGATAGCCAAGACGGCCCACGAGGCGCCCAAACCGCCCAAGAACGCCCCAAGGCGGCGCCCAAGGCGGGGACGAGGAACCAGAAATTCGCGTCTGGTCCAAGAGACCCTTAGGAGACCCCAAGAGGCTCCAAGAAGGGGCCCAGAAGCCGCAAGAGGCCCCCATGAGACCCGACAAAAACGCCGAAAGAGGCCCCGAAGACGCCCCAAGAGGCACGCCGAGAGAGGCCAAATAAGCAAAAATCGTTGATTTTTTGGGCAAACTGACATTTTGTGGCGTGTTTGCCTTTTGGGCGTCCACTGCGTCCAAGACGGCCCAAGAGGCACCCAAGCCGGTCGAGGATGCCTCCTAGAGGGCCCCAAGACGGCCCACGAGGGAGCCAAGACGGCCCGCGAGGAGCCCAAACCGCCCAATAACGCACCAAGGCGGCGCCCAAGGCGGGGACGAGGAACCGGAAATTCGCGCCTTTTGGCCCAAGAGACCCCTGGGAGACCCCAAGAGGCTCCAAGAAGGGGCCCAGAAGCCGCAAGAGGCCCCCATGAGACCCGACAAAAACGCCAAAAGAGGCCTCGAAACAGCCCCCCAATGGGCCCCCCAAAACAGCCCAAGAGAACCCCGGGTCGCGCCCAGCAGGGTCGACCAGAGAGTTGGTCCGACTTTCCACACTCTACACAGGGTCCGTCCCCGGCGATGCCTCAAGCAGGTGTTGCCGTTGGAGTCCTCACTTACCAGAGACAAACTCCAAACATGTGTTCGCACAGCGATTCCTGTGTTTGTGACGCGCTAGAACCTAAGCGCGCGCGAAGCGCGCGCGTGATTCTATTGTATGTTTGTCTGTTTGTCTGTCTTTTTGTCTACCTGCCTGCCTGCCTGCCTGTATGCATGTATATACGTACGTATGTATGTCTGTCTGTCTGTCTGTCTGTCTGTCTGTATGTATGTATGTATTTATGTATGTATGTATGTTTATGTATGTGTATGTATGTGTATGTATGTATGTATGTATGTATGTATGTATGTATGTATGTATGTATGTATGTATATAGGTATGTAGGTATGTAGGTATGTAGATATGCAGGTATGTAGGTATGTAGGTATGCATGTATATGAGTGTGTGTGTGTATGCATGTATGTATATCTATGTATGTATGCATGCATGCATGCATGCATTTGTGCATATATGTAGGTATGCATGTACGTATGTATGCATGCATGTATGTATGTATGTCTGTATGTATGCATGTGTGTGTATGTATGTATGTATGTATGTATGTATGTATGTATGTATGTGTGTGTGTATGTATGTATGTATGTGTGTGTATGTATGTATGCATGTATGTATGCATGCATGCATGCATGCATGCATGCATGTATGTATGTACAAGTGCATGTCAGCCTGTTCGTCTGCATGTACGTATATATGCATATATGTATGTATGTATGTATGTATGCATGCATGTATGTATGTATGTATGTATGTTTGTATGTATGTATGTATGTATGGATCCATTGATCCATGCATGCATGCATGTATGTTTGTATGCTGGTAGGTAGGTATCGATGCGTCGATGTGTATACGTATGTATGTATGCATGCATGCATGCATGTATGCATGTATGTATGTATGTATGTATGTATGTATGCATGCATGCATGTATGTATGTATGTATGTATGTATGTATTTATGTATGTATGTACATACATATATATATGCATGTATGTATGTATGTATATGTATATATATATATATATATACGCGCACGTATGTATATATGTGTATCGTTCCAGGGCAGCCGCCCCCGATGGTGGAACAGCTTGTGGTTATGCCGTTCCTCGTGTCCGCCAAGACAGGGGGGGTGCAACATTAGAGGCGTGCAGCTGGTTTCGTCCTCGCTGGGCGCCTTTCTTGATATACTGGTGCCTCGCGCGCCGGGAGGCGCTGGGCAAAGCAGCTGCGTGCAGCTGATTCGCCAGTCCCCTCTTCTGCTGTCCCCGCCCCTCCGTGCGACCCGAACAGCACGCGATCCCAAGCTTCCCCGCGGTGGGGAAGTTGGGGACCGTTGGGCGTTGTTTCGGCACGCGTGGCGGGGTGGGGGTGGGGCAGACCGAGCCGTCGGGCGGGCTGGCATGAGTGGTGATGCTTACGTGCTAAACCGCCAGAAGGAGATTTTTTCACGGCCATCCTTCTGTGGGCTCCTGTTTCAAACGGAGCGGCCGCTCTTTCTTGCTTGCTCCTCCCACCATTCTTGCATCGGTTCCCTCGTCGCCTGTTCGCGACCTCGGTGCTGCCAGAAGTCATCCGTCGCCATTTCGCTCGGTGCGTCTCCTCCTCCTCCTCCTTCTCCTTCCACACCTCGCACCTTGTCATCCACCTCGTCCTGTTCTTCCTGCCCTTCTTCTGTCTCCTTCCTCACATTCGTCCTCCTCATCACCTTCCCCATCGATCATGTTCCGCCTCCGCCTCCTCCTGTTCGTGATCAGGATCCCCCAGTTCCCCCTGCCCTGAGTCTTGACGACAGTAGTGCTCGTGCAGATTTGCTGTTTCCTCTATGCACGTGACATGCTTGAGGGGCGGTATGCCCTCGTCCCTGGTGATGCCAAGTGTCTTGCTTCTCCTATAAATCGCAATTCTGCAACACTGGCGGCGTCCTTGACTCTGCGTGCCAGCTTCGCAGCGGGCCTCTTGGCGGAACGCGGAGCCCAGGAGTCTCTGGCCCAACCTAAACTCCCAGGCGTCACACCACACACCGTGCCGACTTCCCTTTCTCCTGGAATCACGTCTGCCTGGGGCCGTTTTGGTGTCCATGACCAGTAAGAACGAGAGCTGCGACGGGGAAATGCCCAGGGGATGCCGCTGGCACGAGAATTAAGGACAACCTTAGCTTTGTAGTGATACCCTCATGCTCTTCGTGTTTAGGCTCTCCACCTTAGAATGATTTTGTATTGGGTATCTCCATGGCAGCTTTCTGCCTGACATGTGCTTTTGCGATTCCGTGGGCCGTTTTCATGTCGAGCTCGTCCTGCAGCGAAGGCGAGACGACGACAAAACGGTGGCCCACGCCATGAAGAGGTTACGACGCTGGAGGTCTGGGAGCGTCTCGCAGGGCGGGGGCCGTCGGGACCATCGTCGCGGGCCTCCAAACTGCGTGGTGATCGCACCGCGTTGGGGCGATAGCAGGGGGGGTTCGGGGTCACCGCACGATTTCTGGGACTCGGGTCGGTCTCCCAGGATGTCTTTGGCGATTGGGGCCTCCAGAGTCTCAAAACCGTGCTATGACGGACCGAGCTGTGAGGTCTCTTTGGATTTTGCGCGGTCTGCCGCAGCGCGCTATGGGTGGGGCCGAGGCGCCGCCAGGGGGGTCTCCAGTGCCGACCCAAGAGATTCGCGCGGACCTCCGAATGTGCATGTTTATGTAGCTTTTTCTCTGCCGTCGTTGTCTTCGCCGTCGTCGTCGTCATCGTCGTCGCTGGTGGGTTCCGCGTTGGCGTACGACGCGTGATTTGCCAGCAGTCGGCCAGCACATGCTGCCCTCGAGGGAGCGGTGGACTCAGATATATCTGGGCCTTCAGGCAAATTTGCCCATATCCATCGCCCACTGGAGGTCCTAGGACACTGGTTCCCTGGGCGGTGGACATGGATAAATCCCCGCCTCGAAGTGTTGACCGTGCCAGAGTCAGCTCATAATCACTCCCAGGACGGCGAGATCTTACGACCTTGGCGACGAGGGCCTCCCCAGAGGGCCCTCAACGGCACTCGGTGCGCATATTGCACAGGATGTTGTCGGAAGGTGCAGCGGCGCTTCGGGTTTCCGCCCGGCTGCTTTCTAGTTCTCCTCCTCTTACCTGTGTGCTTGGGCAGGTGGCCGCTGGCGAGCTCACGGCTCAGCAGATGCTCAACATCGCCCTGGCGGATGCCCGGCTGTACGTGGACCCCTTCATAATGCAGGCGTTGGTCGACAACATCGAGCGGCGCGTCCTGGACGGCCACGTCGCGCTGAACGATGTGGACCAGCGACAGTGGGAGGAGGTCCTGCTACCCCCTCTTTGTCCTCCTCTCTTTTCTTTCTCTCCTCCTCTCTTCCTCTCCCCTCTCTGCTGATCTCTTCTTTTCTCTCCTCTTCTCTCCGCTTCTCCTCTCCTCTCTTCTGCGCCCCCTTCTTTTGTCCCCTCCTCCCTTCCTCCATGGTCACCCGACGGGCCGGACCAGACTCGACCCATCCGCCGCACCCAATACGTTTTCTTTTGTGGTTCCAGTCCAGGAGACATCGAGCCCGCCGGGCCGCTTGGTGGTCCCGCGGGCCCTTCCCGTCTGTCTGGCTCGTCCCTCTTGCGCGTCCGCCTCCACCTTCGAATCGCCTCATCCTCTTCCCCCCCTCCCTCTACAACAACCAAGTATGAGTACGACTTTCCTCTCTCACAGGATGTGTCAGCACGTTCTCTTGGAATCACGTGTCCTATTTCCAATCCCAAATTTATCGATCAAAATTTGGTTCCCGCTGAAGCGCGGGCCTCATTTTAGGATCGGGTATTTGCTTCCGTCGTTCAGAGTGGCGCTCTCGTACCAGCGCGGGCCACTTTTCTGGATCGGAGTCCTTCCTCATCGTTGTCGCCCTCCTGCTTTGCCCTCCTTCGCCTGCCCCTGGTCCCCGTGCTCCTCCCGCTCCTTCCGCTGTAGTTCCTGCTGCTGCTTTTGTTCCTCGCCGTCATCCTTTCTCATTCTTCTCCTTTTCCTCCTGCTCATCCTCCTGCTCGTCCGCTACTGCTTCCTGTTAACGAAGGTCTCCCCTTCTCGATTGCGCATAAAACGATATGGGCCTTTTCGGGGTTCCAGGTCCGCGACAACACGCGTCCGCGGATAATTATATATATGTATATATATACATATATACATATATATATATATATATATATATCTGGATATATCGGAGGTGAGGGGGTGAGATCGAAGTGGAACGGAGAGCCCCCCTACCGGGAAATCGGCTTCGGTTTCGTGTTCGTGCGTGCCGTGCGTGCGGGCGAGGCGAAGCTGCGTGGGCGGGCGAGAAGTGTCCCGCCTCTGGCTGAGAAGCGGCTGGACCAAATGTTTCCTGTCTGGGGGCCTTTGGCGCGCGGTGTTCCGCAGGTGTCCTGCTGGTGTCCCGTCGGTGTCCCGATGATGATGATGATGATGATGATGATGATGATGATGATGATGATGATGATGATGATGATGATGATGATGATGATGATGATGATGATGATGATGATGATTGATGATGATGATGATGATGCTGATGCTGATGCTGATGCTGATGTTGATGATGATGATGATGATGCTGCTGCTGATGCTGATGCTGATGCTGATGCTGATGCTGATGATGATGATGATGATGATGATGATGATTGATGATGATGACGACGATGATGGTGATGATGATGATGACGATGTTGATGATGATGATGATGATGGTGTCCCGATGATGATGTTGATGATGCTAATGATGCTGATGATGATGATGATGGTGTCTCGATGATGATGATGTTGATGACCCTGATGATGTTCATGATGAGGTGATGATATGATGACGATGATTATGAAGATGATTATGACGATGGTGTCCCGATGACGGTGAAGATGAGGTTGGTGATGATGCTGTTGATGATGATGGTGATGATGATGATGGTGTCCCGATGATGATGATGATGATGTTGATGTTGATGATAAGGATGATGACGATGTGATGATGATGATGATTTTGATGATGGTGGCCCGATGCTGATGATGATGCTGATGCTCATGATGATGACGATGCTGATGGGTGTCCCGATGATGATGATGATGATGGTGATGATGGTGACGATAATCATGGTGTCCCGATGATGATGGTGTTGGTGATGATGATGATGCTGATGATGATGGTGTCCCGATGATGATGATGATGATGATGATGATGATGATGATGATGATGATGATGATGATGATGATGATGATGATGATATTGTTGACGATGTTGTTTATGATGATGATGATGATGAAATGAAGATGGTGATGGTGGTGTTCCGATGGTGATGATGATGCTGGTGTCCCGATGGTGATGATGTTGATGATGATGATGGCGACGATGATGGTGTCCCGATGATGGCGATGATGGTGATGATGCTGATGATGATGGTCATGGTGGTGATGATGATGGTGTCCCGATGATGATGATGTTGATGATGCTGATGTTGCTGATGATGATGGTGTCCCGATGATGATGATGATGATGATGATGATGATGATGATGATGATGATCATGATGATGATGGTGATGATCATGATGATGATGTTGAAGATCCTGATGATGTTGATGATGATGATGAGGTGATGAGATTGTGATGGTAATGAAGATGATGATGATGATGGTGTTCTGATGATGATGAGGTTGATGCTGATGCTGTTGATGATGATGGTGATGATGATGATGGTGTCCCGATGCTGATGACGATGTTGATGATGGGGATGCTGATGGGGTGATGATGATGACTTCGATGATGGTGGCCCGATGCTGTTGATGCTGATGTTGATGACGATAATGGTGTCCCGATGATGAGGATCATGATGGTAATGATGATGCTGACGATGATGATGGTGTCCCGATGATGATGTTGGTGATGATGATGCTGATGATGATGGTGACGATGATGATGATGATGTTGATGATGTTCTTCATGGTGATGATAGTGAGATGATGATGATGATGATGATGGTGGTAATCCGATGATGATGATGGTGTCCCGATGATGATGATGTTGATGATGATGATGGTGACGAGGATGGTATCCCGATGATGATGTTGATGATGATGTTGATGATGTGGTGAGGTGATCATGATGATGGTGTCCTGGTGATGATGATGACGATGATGCTGATGTTGATGATGGTGACGACGATGATGTTAATTCTGATGATGATGACGTTGATGGATAGATCGATTGTGATATCGATAGTGAGATCGATAGTGAGACCGAATGTGAGATTGATTGTGAGATCGATATTGCGATCGATGGTGAGATCGATTGTGAGATCGATAGTCAGATCGATTGTGAGATCGATCGAATATAATCGATCGAGTCCGATCAATTGTGAGATCTATCGAGTGAGATCGAACGTGCGAGACGGATAGTGAGATCGATAGTGAGATCGCTAGTGAGACCGATCGAGTGAGACGTTGGTTCCTCCCCCCCCGAACCTCCTTATCATCCGAAGGGTGGTCGTATAGGTGTGTATATATATATGTTAATATATCTATCTATCTATCTATCTATCTATCTATCTATCTATCTATCTATATCTATATCTATATCTGTATCTATATCTATATCTATATATAATATATATATATATATATATATATATATATATATATTCCTCTTCCTATATTTTTGTAAGCCCGGGCGGGGGGAGAACCCGTCCCCCCCCCAAAAAAAAACCAGACTCCCGGGATCTGGGGCTTTGGGACCCTCCAGACGGGCCTCGAAGCGGCCACCGGGCCTCACATGGCGTTTTGCCAAGCCTTCCCAGCACACCTAGGGCGATCAGGGGGGTCATCGGAGACGTCCCAGAGACCCCCAAGACAGCACAAGAGCGCTCCAAGAGTGACCGACGTGACCTCAAGATGGCCCAAGAGGCCTCTAGGACGGCTCCAAAGAGGCCTCCAAGAGCACTCCCAAGAAGGCCCCCCGAGGCAAAAATCATTGATTTTCGAAAGGGTTTTTGGTGAATTTTGGGGTTCTCCTCTTTTCGGCTTTCCGACGCTCCAAGACGGCGGTCTTCTGGGCGTCCGAAGCCGCCTGGGCTCCAAAATCGCCCCACAACCATCCGAAAGGGCTTCCAGGCAGTCCAAGAGAGCCCCAAAACGGCACAGTACGGGTCAAAGATGGCCCTCAGAGAGCCCCATGGCGGCTCAAGATGGCCCAAAGACACCCTCCGAAGAATTCCAATTGTGATTCGGTCGTTCAGGGAGACCGCGGTTGGAGGCAGGGTGGCCCGAGGAAACCCCCGGAGGCCCCCACAATACGCCCAGGAGGTCTCCAGAAGGCCTTAAGAAAGCCTGAAACAACTTTTGTGAGGCCCCTAGAGGCTCTCCAAGGAGGAGCCTCCGCAAAAAAGAGCTGAGGAGGATGGGGAGAATGCGCAGGGCATGGCGACAAGAAGGAACAAGAAACATGGAGGAAGGATAACGAATAACATTATTATAGCGTCGATTCCGGAAAAGGCAACCAGGAGTTATCGCTAAATTGTCGGCTTGACCTTCCTGCTATTCCGCCTGCACACCAAACTTCAAGGACCAAGGTGCATGGCGCGAAGCGCCACTGCAGTCTTGTATGTATATATATATACATGTGTATATATATACACATGTAAAAGTATATATATATATATATATATATATATATATATATATATATATATATATATATCGGAGGTTGGTGGTGAGTCCGACGTGAAACGGATACCCCCCCTACCAGGGAAACGATTTCGGTTTCGGTTTCGTGTTGTGCGTGCCGTGCGTGCGTGCGGGCGAGGCGAAGCTGCGTGGGCGGGCGAGAGGAAATCCTCCTGTGGCTGGGCCGCGGCCGGACCAACTGTTTCTCCGCCGGCGGCCGGTGGCCCGCGGTTTCCCGCTGGTGTCCCGCTGGTGTCCCGAAATCCTCCTGTGGCCGGCTTGGCCGCGGCCGGGCCAAATGTTTCTCCTCTGGCGGCCGGTGTCCCGCGCTGTCCCGCCGGTGTCCCGCTGGTGTCCCGAAATCCTCCTGTGGCTTGGCCGCGGCCAAATGATTCTCCTGCGGCGGCCGGTGGCGCGCGGTGTCCCTCACGCTCACGTGCACAATCACACTACTCACTAGACTCCGCCCCACAGGCATCGTCAGAACAACGATCACCTTTTTGGCCCATTGCTGCCCCCCCCAAAACCTCCTGATCACCCGCAGGGTGGTCGTCTAGGTATGCATATGCAGTGAAGTGGCTGACTAAGTACATCAACGAGCGCGGCCATCTAATCAGGCATTGGAAGACCAACGCCTCTGCCTCCGAGATGGCGCGCACCCTCCACGAGAAGGCCTGGTTCAAGCTAGTGCGTGGCGAGAAGACCATATCGCTCCTCACCGGCGGCCGCCAGGGTTGCAAGCTCGTCTCCGTCAGTTTCATTTCGGCCTACACGCCGCCGCTTGTCATGCTGAAGTGGAGGTAGGCGCAGGAGGACCTCGTTCTCCGGATCCAGTCGGCCCCACCGGCGTTTTGGTGCGACGGGGCCTCTGATAATCGGACTGCGGGGGCTGAGCGCGAGCGAGATGAGCAGTGCATCGTGGATGTAACCTTTGTGGACGATGAGACCGTCATCCTGTTAGCTGTTAGCGCAGACACCCGGAGCGCTGGCGCGAGGTGTGGAGATATTGTTCGGCATGCTCACCGAGATCTTCGCCGCTTCCAACTTGGACATCAATTGGAACAAGGGCAAGACAGAGGGCGTCGCGGCCCTGACGGGCTCCTACGCAACCGCTATCAAGGAGCAGTGGCGCCAGCCAGATGGTTCGCTCGCTGTGCCGGTGCTCAACTCGACGAAGCTTGTGCACATCGTTGACGCCTATAAACAACGTGCTACGTTCTTGTCAGCTGAGGGCATGTCGTTCCGCAGCGCCGCGCACCGCTCCCAGTCTGCCATGTCGGCCTTCGTGCCGCTGGCGCACAAAGGTGTTCGGTTCCCAGATGATCGCGAACCCGTATAAGTTCGTGTTCTTGCGGGGCCTCGTTCAGTAGAGGCTAATCTTCAACCTCAACGTGTGCGTGCTGCACCCGAGGTCGCTGAAGAAGCTGGTCGGCGTGTATATGAGGGTTCCCAGGAGAATCCCCGACGACCCTCGTTATTCCAAGGACGTCAAGATGACCGACCTCGAGGTGAGGAGGGCCCTGAACATGCCGTGGCTGGACTGCGTGCTCCAGATAACGCGGCGCCGGTACTTCGCCCAGCTGGTCCGCAACCGGCCCAAGGTGTTGTTGGCCCTCTTGTTTTCGGGGACCGACGATCCCGAGCTGCCCTGGCTTGCGCTGGTTCGCGCCGACACTGAACACGTCCGTGCCCTTGGACTGGTGCCCAGCTTCCCTCCTTTGTACAGTGATAGGTAGAAGTGGCTCGATCTTTTACAGTCGCATACCAGATGGAGCAATGTGCTGGACCACTCCTTTTCCATTGAGTCCGTCCTCGACCGCCAGGCGCATGAGGTGTCCGGCGCCCCGTCTGTTGGGCGAGGTTTTAACTTCGAGTGTACAGTTTGTCACGCTTGTTCCCCTTCCGAGCGTGCCCTGGCGAGCCACTGTAGGGCCAAACGCGGCCAAACAATTCGTCATCAAGTAATACATTGACGGCTCGGGCACTTGCCCATGCTGCGGCACTTATTTTCGGTCGCGGCTTCGGTGCATAGAGCACCTCTCCAGCCGTCGCCGCCCGCGATGCGCCGAATGGGTGTTCGCTACTTGCGCGCCGCTCGAACCGTTCGCGTTCGAAAGCCTTGCAGGGCAGGACAGGGGGATGCTGCGAGTGCCTTGGGGGCAAGGCCATGCGCATGCCATTGCCCGTGGTCCGGCCGTCACCAAAAGTGGATGCGTCGTCGGCCGGCCAGTGTCGGTAATGGTCTCTGCCTCGCGCACGTTTGCCCCGCAGTAAATATCCGCACTGTGTCTTGACGTTTGCTGTGAGATTTGGGTGTATATTGTTTCCATATATATACATATGTACGCAAAAGAAAGACGGGAGAGAACGGGAGAGAGAGAGAGAGAGAGAGAGAGAAACAGAGAGAGAGAGAGAGAGAAAGAGACACACACACACTCACACCAAAAACATTAGCGCGATGGGAAGAGATGGGTGGGAGGGGCAGGATGCCCAGCACGCGGAGGCGCAGAGGCCCCATCTGCTCGTCACCCCTCAGCCATGGGGCTTTCGGAAGGCTTGGGGTCCGTGGTAGCCTCTTTTCCATGTCATCGTCAGGAGCCTAGACCTTCTCTTCTCGCTTTTTGAAAACAAAAACAGCGACGGGAGATCCTTGGCAGTTTTCGGCCTCCGTGGGTCCACAATTGGGACCCATGGGCCGCCAAAAGGAACGGTTCGGGATGCAGGGCCAGTCCCAGCAAGGAGTCCACACCTTCATTTTGTAAACAAAAAGCGTCGTCGGGTCTAGAAGCCTCTCATGACGGTCGCTAGTCAGTTCAGCAATCCGAGTATGGCCCCCCATCCTTCCCAGAAGTTGTGCGGCAGATCTCCAGGCCCTTCCGCGTGCTGTTTTTTCTTGTGTCGCCAGAGTTCAACATTTGACTCCGATTGTTTCCGGTGTTTCAAAATGATACTCCCGCTGCAGCGTGGGGTTCATGTTCGGATCGGCGCTTTGCTCCCGTCGTTCAGACTGGCGCTCTCGCCCCTGCGTGGTCCCCCTTTGTTTCCCCTCCTCCACCTTCCCTTGGTCCTCTTGTTCCCCTCGCTCCTTCCACTCCATTTCCTGCTGCGGCTGTTCGTCTCGCCCCAGCGAGGGCCACTTTTCGGACTCCGTTTCTTCAACGTTGTCGCCCCCCGCCTTTCCCCCCCTACGCCGTCCCCGGGTCCTTCTTTTCTTCCTTGTCCTTCCGCTTTAGTTCTTGCAACTGCTGTTCGTCATCATCCTTTTCCTCCCGCTCATCCTCCTGCTCACTGGCCACCTCCTCGTGTGTATACAGTTCGCATTTTTGCGACTGCGCATGCCACAAAGTGGTCTTTTGGTCGGAGTCGCAGGTCGGCTGTGACACGCGTCCGCGGGTAGGGATGGGAGGGAGGGATCTGATGTCAGATGAGGCGCGAGCACACTTAGCTTACCCTCCTGGTCCTCATCCCCCTCCTCGTCAACCTACGTGTATATACACATATCGAGTCGGGCAGTTCCCAGAGAGGTTCCTCTTCCGCTTCATCCTCCGCTCCCTGTTGTCCTCGTGCTCTTCCTTTACATGCTGTCCTTTTTCTCCCCCCTCCATCTTCCTCGTCCTTCCTCCTCCGCATGCTCCTCCTTCCCCTCTTCGATTCCCCTCGTCCTCCCTGGCCCCCCCGCGAGGGAGGAGGGTAGGTGGAGCGGGGGGAGACTGGCAATTAAGTGAACCGGGGTCTCCAGCAGTGTGACTCTGATCTTCCCGGGGCGCGCGCGAGCGTGCGAGAGGTGAAACGCTGGTGCATGCCGTGCTGTCAGGCCATGGAGGTCATGGACAGTTTTAATACAGCGTATGGGGGCGAGTACGGCGGCATGCCCATACCCTTGCTGGCTCCTGATGGCAGCATGTATCCCGTCCCGATGTTCCTTCCAGACGAGGGCTTCGTTGGCGAGCAAGAAATGTATGAGGGGTTCGACATGTCCGAGGAGTATACAACAGATTACGTACATGCTGACGGCGATGGACATGACCCAGCGGACATAGTGCTCGACTACATGTGTCCAGACGCCGCTGCAAAAGATCACGTGCAAGATGGCAACGACGACGGATACGACGGTGAAAGTGAAGGTGTCGATGACGGTGCATCTCAAGGTACGTATGGCACTTCCCAGTGCGTCGCCACAGTAGACGAGCTGAAACAGCACGACTGGTCGCCTGCCCTTGAGTACCAGTAGGATCTGGTCCCATGCATTTGTACAGCGTTTCTCGACTGGAGCTGCCTTCTGTATTGCTCATGTAAGTGACCCCCTTCTGTTCAGCGAGGGTACGTCAGGACTGGACTGTCGTGCTGTCTGCCTCTCTCTTTCCCTCCTGCCTCCTTCTCCTTATTGCCTCTAGACCCCCCTGATGGACACACGCTGAGCACCTCCCCAGGAACCATTGAGGGTTCGCGGGGGAACTCCTGAACCCACCGAGCACATCCCCACTTCCCACTCCTCCTACCCACCCTAGAGGCCAGGTCGATCCCCCTCAACCCCAAATGATCCTCCATGGGTGCCCCATGGCCTTGTTTCTGACACGGCAGAGATTCCGATATTCTAAACATCTGGTGAATGTTTGAAATGTTGTTGTCAGGAAGAAGTGTCTGGACTGTCGGTGTGCGACGTTTGTTCCGTCGTCTCCCGATGGCTCCCGTGGCCTCCCATTATCTCCCGTTGCCTCACTGCCGCCTCCCGTTGTCTCCCGTTGCTTTCCGTGGCCTCCGTTGCCTCCCGTGGCCGTCCTATCGTTATCCGTATCCCCATCCGTATCGGTCGGGCGATGTTGTCTTTTGTTGTCTTCCGTTGCCTCCCGTTGCCTCCTGTGGCCTCCCGTTGCCTCCCGTGGCTTCCCGTTGTCTCCCGTGGCCTCCCGTGGCCTACCGTTGCTCTATATCTCTATCCCGATTCCGTTCCCCATCCCTGTCTCTATATCCTTGCCCCTGATTCCATGTTCCTGTCCCCCTACCCCTTTTCCTGCCCCGATCCCCTCATCGTGATCCCCCATCGTGGCCCCCATCGGAACTCGTAACTGTGTAAAGCTGCCCAGTGTCTTCTGCCGCAAGGGCGTCAAACAACAAAACAAACCGTTTCCCCCTACACTCCGTTTCCTCCATGATCCCCCTCTAGACCTCCACAACACTACCTACAAGTAGCCCGTCAAAACCTCCTCAACCGTCTGCCAAAACTTGAATCCTCCTCCGCACATCCTTCATTCTTCTTTCTACATATTCCTCATGCCTGCACCAGAATCCCCCGACATCGAATCATGTCCTATAATCCCAAAGCCGCAGACTTTTATCGCAGAGGCCTTGCCGCCAGTCTCACCGACCCCCCTCCTCTGCTGCTCCCATGCACCTGGTACACTCGGACAGTGATGAAACGGATTTTCGCCATGGGAGCGTGGCGCACTGGCAATGTACTCGTGATCGTGGCCTTGGGAGTGCGGACCCGGAGCCATTTCGGAGAGGTCGTGGTGGCCCTGAGAAAGAGGATGGATGCAGTGTGAATTATTTGCGGCACTGGCCTTTGGAGCGCGGATCCAGCGTAATACATACAGAAGGGATCGTGGCCGTGGGCGCGCAGACCGAGCGTATTCGACAAGGGCTCGTGTCCTTGGGACCGCAGACCCAGAGCATTTATGAGGGCTAATGGGAGGTCATATTCCAGAGACCCCCCCCCCGAACGGGTTAGATATGAAGGACGCTTTTGGGGCTGGGGGTGGGGAGTCGTTTAGAGGGGGGCACTAACGCTAATGCAGTGTGACTGCTAACAGCCTTGAGGCAGCACAGGAGGGCTGGCGGATTGATACCAAATAAAAAGATGCCCCCCTCCCTTCCCCCCAGTACAACAACATTTTCCAAGATGTCATACAACCAACTGACCCTGATGTGTTTCCTTCCTGCCTGCCTCCGCATCCTCCTCATCCTCATCAGCTCTCCTCTCCTCTCTCCTCTCCTCTTCCCTCCTTTCTGCCTCCTCCCTCCTCCTCCGTCCTTCCTGCCTGCCCCTCCTCCTCCACCTCCGCCTATCCCAGTCTCCCTCGTTATCCTTCCCTCGTTCTCTCTCTCTCTCTCTCTTTCAACCCTTCTACCTCTCTCTCTCTCCCTCTCCCCCCTATCTTTCTTTTCAAACGAATCCCTCTTTCTCTCTCGTGTGGTTTGCCTTCGTTCCTCTCTCTTAGTATCTCTCAGTGGGGCGCTGTACCCCTACCATTTCAGGGATGCGTGCCAGCGGCAAGTAACGGCCGCGGCGAGTCCGCGGAGGAGCTACCTCTGAAGCGCCCGCCCCGCCGCTTGGAGTCCTTCCTCACCATTATTCTCCCTCATCCTCGTCCTCCTCGTCCTTCTCCTCCTCTCTCCTCTCTCCTCTCTCCTCCTCTCTCCTCTCTCCTCGCTCCTCCTCTCTCCTTCTCATCCTCGTCCTCCCTCCTACTCCGCCTCTCTCATCCTCCTACTCCTCTTCGTCGTCCTCCTCCTTTCTCATCGTCCTCCCCCTCCTCCTCCGCCTCCTCCTCCTCTCTTCCTCTCTACCCCTTCGCCGCATGGAGTCCTCCTTCAGTATCCTTCTCCCTCCTCTTCATCTGCATCCGCACTTTCTTGGGTGCTGCCAGGGGTGGCCCTGGCCCAAGGTGGCCCCAGCTCTTCCAGGGAGGCCCAGAGGCCTCTGGAGCATCCCTCGCGAGGCCCGGGGGGCCGCGGGGGCTCCTGGATGGAGCGAATGTGTGGGGGCACCTTGGGCCGGGGGGGACCTTTTGTATCCCCCCCCCCCTTGGCTCCTGCCCCCAGCCCCATATCGCCATACATGCGCGCCTGCGTTTTCGAGTCTCAGTGGCGCCGCGCCGCCCGCGGCGCCTCGAGGGTACCGACGCATCCGCGGGTCGGTCAGCGTGCTGCTCCGCCCGAGAGGTCGGTCAGTGCAGCCGCTGAGTCCGCACACGAAGGCCTCCTGGCGTGTTGGAATGAAGACTCGGAGCGAGCGGCTGCGTAATGCAGCGCTGCGTACCATCAGGGAGGATGTGGAGGAGGACGAGGGGGGGGGGATGGACAGAAGGATGAGGGATGGCGTGGACGTGTGCGTATGTAGGGGAGGAGGAGGAGGACGACGACGAGGAGGTAGGAGGGGGAGGGTGCGGGGTGTGGGGGAGGCGGTGGGGGAGGAGGGGGATGGACAATGGAGGAGGAGGGGTGGATGGGAAGCGGGAGATAGCATGTAGTTCGGCTGTTCAGATTTCCAACGCGCTGGGCTCGCCGATTTAGTTTTCTATGTGCTTTTTGGCCTAGAGCCTCGAGTCCGTCAGCGGGGCCCCGGAGTCTGTCCGCCATGTTGCTCGCTCCTCTGCCCTCTCCAAGCTGCCCTCCCCTCCCCTCCCCTCCCTCCACCTGTCCCCCTGCCTCTCTGCATTCATATCTGTCCCTCTCTCTCCTTCTCCCTCTCGAGGTCTTGTCGATATTTCCTTCATTATCTTAGTTTCATCATCTTTTTCTTTTTTTCTTTATTTTCCTGCCTGTCACTTTATCTCTCTCCCCCCCTCCCCCTCTCCCCCCCCTCCCCGAGGGGCAAGCCGTTCTGGCTCAGACTGTGTGTCTGCGCTTGCAACAACTTCGCTTCAAAACGGCATAGCTGCTGAGTCCAGGATCGCCCACGTTCTCCTACCATTCCCATCTCTCTCCAACAGGTGCGGCCGCTGCTGGGAAAAACGGCAGGCCAAAGCGCATTGCGGAGGGTCTCGGCAGCTCGCAGCTCAAAAGGGGTTTCGCAAAGCCAGCTGTTTCTAATTATGCGCCTTGGGCAAACGGGCTACTCGAGGAAGGGCTCACGTGTACGTGATGCATAGCGTTCTCTCGTTCCTGGCCTTCAGGATCCTGTCCCTCCTTCTGGCGGGCAGCGCTGGGCATGCAACGCCAGCTGATGTCGTCATAACGCCAGCTGGTTCACATGGTGCAAGCACTGCGGGTGTTCTCGTTGAAGGACTGCAGCCGGCGTCTGGTTTCAACAGTTCCGACGCGGGCAAGGACGGCCAGTGGTACAAAGGATTTCAGGGCAGTTCAAAGGAGGACGTTTCTTGGGCAAGGGTGCTTGCGCTTGTGGCGGCGGAAGCACTGCGCCTGGTACTTCAGGAGGCGCTGCGGCGTCTACGTCCACCACTCTCCATCGAGGGGTACCAGCAGCTGGTGTCCCTATTCGAGAATGGCGAGTGGCAGTGTCGCGGTGAAGCAGTACAGGACATCAGTTCAAGCTCTGTAAGCACCGCCTCCGGCAACGCTTCAGGTTGAATTCCAGCAGGCCGCTCCTAAAACTAGGCGCGCGGAACAACCTCGAGGCCGCCGTGCTTAAATCCGAGATGATGGCTCAGCAGTTGCAATCGAAGCAGGCCTTCGTATCATCCCCTTGCAGGAGCTGGAGCAGTCGGGATCTGCTCGCAGTGGGTTGGCGCGTCAGCTCGACGAACCGCTCAGGCAGCCCGATGACGAGACATCTGTGCAGGCCACGATCGCGACCGATGAGTTTGTTGACCCGCGGAAGCCCGAGTCCATGCTGGGCGTATCGCCCACTTTCAAGTTCGAGGACCTTGATGAGGACAAGAAGGAGCTCGAGACAGGGGCTGCTAAGTTGCGTGAGGCATCTCTGGCCTCGCCGGCAGCGTAAAGGGCTCGGAGTCTAAGTTTGATCAGCTTCGCAAGGGCCGCGACGCCCGCGCCAAACGGCTCTCAGCCATGAGGCGCCGGTACGAGGCTCCTGCTGGCGGCGGGGGTGCAGCGCCAGCGGAGAAGGGAGCGTCCCCGGCCTCCCCTGGTGAGCCTGCTGAGGGTGCTGCTGCGTCGGCGTCGGGCGGGGCTTTCACTGCTGAGGCCTGAGGCCCTCTCCTGGCCATGGCCATGGGTGTTTGTTCAAGGAACCTCTCCCAGGAGGGGATTCCAGTTAGTTTTCATGCCATGTTATGCTTTCGGGGCCGCCCTCGGCGGCCCAGGTGCAGCTATGGAGTCGTCGTGGTCTTGTCTCTTTTTTGAAGTGCCCTGTTATTTCAAGTCTCTGCTCGGATGTCTCGGACGCGGTGGTCGTCGTTCCGAGCTCTCGCTGTTTCCGCGCTCACGCCTCCGCTTCGCTTCGGCGCCGTGGTGGGGGGCAAGTCGCATGGTGGCTGGCGCCCCAATCGATATCTCGCGCCCGTCGGCGTTGTGCCTTGTTCTCGCGCT